GCCCGCCAGCGGCGGGGAAGGGCAAGTCAGATGGTCCAGGCATGTACAGGGCAAAGACTGCAGGGAACTACGACGCCTCGTACCGCGGTACTGGGGTCGCGGCGCAGGCCGACGCCGAGGGACCCACGGTGGCGGAGCCAGGGGATGCCCAGCAAGAAGCAGCCGCGCAGGCCGCCGCGTCAGGGCCTGCGTCGCACGCCGCTGCGGGAGAAGGGGCTGAGCAGGCAGACTGGCGGGAGGTCCTGGAGCCCGCCTGGTGGGAGGCGAAGCAGGAGCCCACCTCGGCCGCGGGCGGTGCGTCGAGCGGCGCAGAGTGGTGGAGCGGCGCAGACTGCTGGAGCAAGGGGGAGTGTTACATAGCAGATCCTGGAGCGGGATCTAGGGATCCTCTGGGAATCGGTCAACTCACCCGCATCTCCCCCGCCACGCACGCCCGCGAGCCCACGAGGCGCACCCCTGAAACGGAGAGCGCCCTGGACGCAGCTCGACCCGGCGTCGCGGCCGCCAGGCGGGCAGCTGAGCACCCGCAAGTTGTCGCCACGGCAAGGATGGACTTGCACGGAACGCAGGTTGGGGGCAGAGATACGGCACCTATGCCCTGACCCCTGGCTGCCTAACCACCAGCGCCTCCCGCTGGTGGGCGCAACAGTGGGACTCGGGGCATGCCGCTTCCAGATCAGACCCTGACCTGCCCCTGCCACCGACCTGGACGCGGCCCCGGCGTAGATGCTCTCAAGGATCGGACCTCCCGCACCCACCGCGGGCTGGGTCGAGGACCACATCGGACCAATGCGGACGATCGCGCCCACGGTGCCCGCCCCGGCGGTGTTCGACCCAGGGCAGAACGTCGGGGCCCTAAACCTAAACCGCCCTAAGTGGCACCTAGAACATTTGCATCTGGCACCTGGAACTCGCCCGTCTTCGGGCCAACTGGCCTCGACGTAGCGCGGCCGTGAGCCGATGAGGACTTACCTCCCCCTGGAAGGAATACTCGACGTGAGTAGCAGCATGGTATTGTTGTATTGTTTCCATATTGGATTCGCATTGGGTCATAGTGGGGCCATAAGTGTCATATTTGAATCGTTGGATCGTTGGATGATCTCGGGGTCGATTCGGCGTCACGCGGTGCTTCTGGCTCCGTCTTAGCGCCACAAGGGCTGCGGGGTTCGCATGGGCCACCTTGGGATCATCTTGGATTCGCGGATTCGGTTCGGGAGCTACACATGGGCCACGAAGTTGGGGTCATCGTAGGGCCCTTTGGGGGTCGTTTTGGGACCGTCGCGGGGCCACGGTGGATCGCGATTTTGTCATGGGGTCATCCTAGTGTCGCGTTAGGGTCCAGGGGCAACCTCAGGACCGCGGTGTCACGTGAGGGTCGCCTTGGGATCGCATTGCGATCGCGGGCCGCGACGAACCCCCCCCTGCTCACCATCCTATGCCGGTTGGGGGGGGGGGGGGGGGCAGCCAACCAGCGTGATCACCGGCTGGCGGCGCGGGGTCGGTGTTCTGACCTTGGTGAAAACATCGACGCTTGTGAGGGTCGAAGGGCGTTCGGCGCCCGTGGGCAGTGCCAAGATGGCCACGTGGCTAAGGGGCGGGGCAAAAGAAAAAAGGGACCTAGGAAGGATGGGCAGCGAGGAGGGCGAAGAGGAGGCGGAGGAGGAGGAGGAGCAACTGGGAGGAAAGGGAGGAGGCAACGGAGGACGACAGTGCATATGGATACACTAGAAGGAGGAGGGGGCGGGGCAGGAAGTGGACCAGGAGGAGGGGCAACAGGGGAAAGAGGGGTTAGATGAGGGAAGGATGATAACGAGGAGGACGAATAGGAAACGAAAGACTTGAAGGGGTGGAGGAGCATGAAGAGGCTGAGGACGAGGCTAAGTTGGCAAGTTGCTGCTTGCCCCCGAGGTACTCAGCGGCCTCATGACCCCCCGGAGGCCCATAACTTGCCAGAAACGTAAGGCAATGTACCGACAACAATCAAAACATAACAAATCACTCGACCCCCAATCCTCGAGCGTCGGGGTGTCGATGATGCCTCTGCCGCTGTTGCTAGATAGTGTCTCTGCCGCTGCTGTTGCGGTTGTTGCAGCTGCTCTCTTCGCCACTGCTGTTTCTTATGATGCTGGCTTCGCGCTCGGATGCTCCTCTTGTTGCTGTCGATGCTGATGTACCACCCTCCCGAACAAAACAATTTGATGCAAGTAGGCATTGGTCCATGGGGTGTTCTTGGGATCGTTGCGACGCCGCATTGAGGTCGCTACGTGTTGGGATCACCTTGAGGTCATAGTGGAACCATACGGGGGTCTTTCGGAGGTGGTGCATCGAGGACCGAAGGACCCACATCGGGCTTCGAGGATTGACGGCTGCAGAGCAATCTACAGGATAGCATCGGGGATGGAGCATCGCGGATCGGCATCGCGGGTCGACGATCGAGGTGCAAGGATCGAATATCGCGGATTGAACATCACGGGTCGAAGATCGAGGAACGAGCATCGCAGCTCGAGCATCGAGGGTCGAATGCCACCAGCCCTGTAGAACGTGAGGTGCTCTAGTTAGGGGGCTCACCCTTCTTTCTTCTTAAACAGCCTCTCTCCCCACCTTATCCCCTAGACCTTGCTGCAAAGACCCTGGGATACCCTGCTAAGCCCCCCCCCCGCAAAGCCCCTTCAAAGGCCACTGCAATACCTTGCAAAGATCCTGCAAAGACCCTCGCAATACCTTGCAAACCAGACCCTGCAATACCCTGCAAAGACCCTTGAATGCCCTGCAATGACACTGCAATGCCATGCAATGACCCTGCAATCCCACAAGCCCTCCGGGCGTGGGTCGTCGAAGGGGTTCTCTCTTCCAGCCCCAGAATACAATACATACAAGTGGCACGTCACGTGCGTGCCCAAGCCCCGAAAAGGCCCCCCAAAAAAAAAAATATCCTGGCGAAGGACCCAACCATATGCAATTGTGAATACTGCAATTGTGAATATCTTCTCGGTGGAGCCCCCTACGGGGCCACGAAACGTACGAAGGGTGTGCCGAAATGCGTGTGCGGGACGCATGCGGGCACACCCACTGGGGCCTTCGGTGGAGCTCCCTATAGGGCCACGAAGCGTGTGAGGGGTGTGCCGAAATTGGTGTGCGGGACGCATGCGGGCACACCCACTGGGACCTCCGGCGGAGCTCCCTATGGGGCCACGGAACGCGTGATGGGCGTGCCGAAATGGGTGTGGCTGACGCATGCGGGCGGCAGCACTGGGGCCTTCGGCGGAGCTCCCTATGGGGCCACGAAACGTGTGAGGGGTGTGCCGAAATGGGTGTGGCTGACGCATGCGGGCGCGGGCACTGGGGCCTTCGGTGGAGCTCCCTATGGAGCCACGAAACGTGTGAGGGGTGGGCCGAAATGTGTGTGGGTGACGCATGCGGGCGCGGGCACTGGGGCCTTCGGTGGAGCTCCCTATGGAGCCACGAAACGTGTGAGGGGTGTGCCGAAATGGGTGTGGGTGACGCATGCGGGCGCGGGCACTGGGGCCTTCGGTGGAGCTCCCTATGGGGCCACGAAACGTGTGAGGGGTGTGCCGAAATGGGTGTGGGTGACGCATGCGGGCGGCAGCACTGGGGCCTTCGGCGGAGCTCCTATGGGGCCACGAAACGTGTGAGGGGTGTGCCGAATTGGGTGTGGGTGACGCATGCGGGCGGCAGCACTGGGGCCTTCGGCGGAGCTCCTATGGGGCCACGAAACGTGTGAGGGGTGTGCCGAATTGGATGTGGGTGACGCATGCGGCGGCAGCACTGGGGCCTTCGGTGGAGCTCCCTATGGAGCCACGAAACGTGTGAGGGGTGTGCCGAAATGGGTGTGGGTGACGCATGCGGGCGCGGGCACTGGGGCCTTCGGTGGAGCTCCCTATGGAGCCACGAAACGTGTGAGGGGTGTGCCGAAATGGGTGTGGGTGACGCATGCGGGCGCGGGCACTGGGGCCTTCGGTGGAGCTCCCTATGGAGCCACGAAACGTGTGAGGGGTGTGCCGAAATGGGTGTGGGTGACGCATGCGGGCGCGGGCACTGGGGCCTTCGGTGGAGCTCCCTATGGAGCCACGAAACGTGTGAGGGGTGTGCCGAAATGGGTGTGGGTGACGCATGCGGGCGCGGGCACTGGGGCCTTCGGTGGAGCTCCCTATGGAGCCACGAAACGTGTGAGGGGTGTGCCGAAATGGGTGTGGGTGACGCATGCGGGCGCGGGCACTGGGGCCTTCGGTGGAGCTCCCTATGGAGCCACGAAACGTGTGAGGGGTGTGCCGAAATGGGTGTGGCTGACGCATGCGGGCGCGGGCACTGGGGCCTTCGGTGGAGCTCCCTATGGAGCCACGGTGTGTGCCGAATTGGGTGTGGGTGACGCATGCGGGCGCGGGCACTGGGGCCTTCGGTGGAGCTCCCTATGGGGCCACGAAACGTGTGAGGGGCGTGCCGAATTGGGCGTGGGTGACGCATGCGGGCGCGGGCAGCGGGAGGAGGGAACGCGGGGCACCGTCTCTTCAAAACGATGGCCCAACACCACAGGATGGTTGGGAAAAAAAGGCCTCAAGAGTGACCAAGAGAACTCCAAGAGGGCCCGAGAGGCTCTGAGAGAGCCCCAAGAGGACCCCACGATGACCCCCACGAGGGCCCCACGAGGCCCCCCCGACGGATGCTACAACTGGGGTGTGCGTTTGTGTGCGTTGTAGCATCCGTTGGGGGGCCCCTCGGGGCCCTCTTGGGGGCCTCTGGAGGCGGTGGTGGAGCCCGCGGAGGGGTCCAAGAGAGCCTCGGAAAGGGGCCCAAGAGGGCGGCAAGAAGACACCCGACGGACGCTAGAACCAGGGGGGTGCGTCGTGGCATCCGTTGGGTGCCCTCTTTGGAGCAATCTTGGGGCCCTCTTGGAGTCCTACTGGGGCGCTCTGAAGGCGCGGGGGGGGGGCCCGCAGACGGCCCCGATGGGGCCCCAAGACTTGCTGAAGGAGTTGAAGTTGTCAACGTAGACCCCCTCTGCGCAAAACGCCAGGGGCCAGCTCAGGAGCGGGCGTTCTATCCCTCGGCACTCCCTCGAGGCCGAGCGGGCGTTGTGCTGCGACAAGATTCTCAAACAACTTCTGGCACAAGTAGAGCGACCATGACCACCCCATGCACAGGCCCTCGAAGCAGATGAAGAGCTGCTCGCCAGGCCCCAGGACGTCGTACCACCTGAATCCCAACCTCATGAGCGTCGTCCGCGGTGTAGCCCGCCCCCATGCAGAACCAAGAGGCGAGTTGGACATTCGAGAAGTTGTAGGAGCCGTCGTCGACGTCGGCGTCGCCAGCGAGGACGGGCACGGATGCCGTGCCACCATATCCCCCGCATTGGCTCAGGAAGTCGTCGGACAAGTCAAGGTTAACCATGGCCCGTGCAGAGCCTAGCTGCACGGTGGGCGGCCGCCTGTAACTGAAGCAGGCCTGGCGGGAGTCAAGAACCATTCGGATCTCGCCCCCCCTTCTTCTTCGCGAAAAAAGGTGCACAGAAAGCCCTGGCATTGCGACGGAAAGAGACCAGCCCAATACCAGCCAGGTGCTTGAACAGGTGTCGTCGCTTGGCAGGCGAGCGTCGCAGCGTAGGGCCCCTGTGCGGCTCCAGCATCTCCGGTGCAAGACTGAATAGCTCATCGGTGCTCCGCTCGATCTGCGTGTCATAGTGGCGAAGGATCTGCGCGGCCTCTGCTGGGAGGCCATCCATCGGGGACCGCGGCGTGAGTGACCCCGACAGATCTTTAACTTAGAAAAATCATACGCTGCAAGATTCGCCGGCCCCAGTCCGCACTGGGATCGCGATGCCAGGAGCTCCGCAAGGGCTCGCCGCTCAACAAGATCAGGAGGTGCCCGACCGCGCGCAGCCCCGCGCTGGTGATGTCGCCGATGCACGGCGACCTGAGCTGCGGTAGGCCCCCTCCCCCCAAAACTGTCGCACATCGGACCCGTAGGCCTGGTCGTAGAGGTAGCAAGGTGATTCAGCGCCTCGGCCGCCTCATTCACTTGCTCATGCCGAAAAATATGCCGAGCTCGTCGCCGCTTAACATAGCGAGGGCCCTTCTCGAGTCCATGCATTGATGGGGGAGGGTCTCGAGGCAGAGGAAAAAGCACACTATGTCGCCGATCGCCCAGAAGTCGCCGATGAACTGCATGGCGGGCAGCTCCCGGCGGAGGAGCGGGGCCTCCTCATCCTGCGGCGTGGGCGACGCCGCGGAGTCCCCGCTCCGGCTGAAAAGGCATCATGACTCCCCGGCGGCGCCCCCAGCGCCGCCTCTGCCGCCTCCCTTGTTGCCCTTCATCTTCTTCTTGGGGTCGGCCTTCGGGCGAGGCAGACGCTTCGCGCCGGGGTCGGGTGGCCCTATGAGGGCCCTCTCCTCGCGCTCCAGCCTGGCCTGCTTCAACACCGTAACCCGACCTTCTGCCGCCCAGCGACCCAGTCACGGAAAGAGACGACGCTGGCCGCCCCTGAGGCGGTGACTGCACCGCCCATGCACTCCTCGAGCCCGAAGTCGGGATGCGACGGGTTCCGCTCCACAGCCATCTCCAACTGCACCTGTCGGCGGCAGAGGTTCTCGACCCCCTGAAGGTAGGGCGCGTCCACCTGGTCCACCTCGATGAGCAGTCGCGCGCACGATGCTGATGAGACGCAGCAGAGCCAGGATACACACCAGAGTCATGCTGCCAATTGCGTTCATACACCTCGAAGCCTCCCGCCTGGTCGACCAGGCCGAGATACTCCATCGCGAGGCGAGGTCCAGGAAAACCCCAGTCGTCATAGCTCACTTGCGAGTACAACGCCAGAGCCTCCTTGAGCATGATGTAGCGCTTCCCATTCCTCAGGTGCACGCCGATGGTCCTGTCATCACGTTCAACAGCCTGACGCTCTTTGATCCAGCTCTCACGGTCGCCTGCATTCACACGGGCGGCCCAGATCACAGCACCGTTCACCTCCGCCACGGCCGAGTCCCCGATCTCGGTGAAGCGCTCCTGGCCGTCGACCACCTCCTGCGGCACGACCTCCCCCAGCCTCTTGAGGCCAAGGCCAGCGCGCAACCAGACTAGGTCGGGAGCCTCGGCCTCCATGTCGTCATCCGCCAGCACGCGTGCCTGCACCTTGGCCAGTTGGACGAACTGGTTGAACTCGACCCTCGTGATGGGATCGAAACCGAAAATATCATTCCTATTGACTCGGGCCGGCCAAGGCGCATTTCGCGCCAGCACGATGTGACGGATCCGACTGAGATCATGAGTGAAGAGATCCAGCGTCGGCGTCAGCGTGACCCAGACGCCTGCAGCACCAGCTCTAACAAGTAAGATCCTCATATGCCAGTAGAATCCATTGGCATCGTCGGGAAAGTGTACCAGCACTTGAAGCCCTTTGATGCCCAATGAGCGCTCCATCACGCTCGAAAACTGGAGGGCGTCGCCACGTATCCGTTCCCTGGAGACTGTTCCGCCAGCCCTCGGACGGTCACCGAACTGGGTGACACCTGCAGCGTACGTGTGGGGACGGTCGGTTCGGATGGTCTCTCGGAGTGGCACTGCTGGCGCTTGGCGAAGGCTGCGCAGCACCTGTCCCAACACCGCAACAGAGCGATGCCGAGGAGGAAAGCGATTGATATACCCAGCCAGTCACGCTCGTGCACCTCAACTGGCTGGTACTGGCGGGCCCCGCGCAGGTCAA